AAAAAAAAAACCTTTCAGATGATGTGACCGCGAGGACATCTGCTCAGTATCAGTCATTATTATCTGTAACTGAAAGAGTTTAGCCAAAACAGATGCCCTTGTTTTTGTTTTTTTTTTCATTTTGGCAGACATAAAGGGAAAAGCTTTATTCCAGCTTTACCACATGTGGCGTGCCGACGTTGTTATCCCCTTTTTCATAAAGATCTTGTTGACTTGAAAAGATTCATACTCGGCACAAACACAGCGGCTCTGCTGCGGTCTCTCCCATCGTTCCCACAACACCCCGAGCCCTCCACCAGCTGTCACATGATACCAGTTATGTTGTTTGGGTTCTTGCAGCATGCTAGTTGAACTACAGTATTTAATTAGATTGTACGAAATGGAATAAATCCTGACTGTTTGCCGGATGTTGTTGCTATTTGAGCAAAAATGTTTACCTGGAAAAACCTCTTAGAGTCACAAAGGCAGGATTCACAGACCCTTTAATGAGCTCTAAGGTGGAAAAAAAAATCCATCTTTCTTAGAATCCTAGCTGAGTATTTCCCATAGTGTGGTGGTGGGTGGAGATTTCTGGTTGCCTGCTAATCTGGACAGAATAGGGATTGGTGCTTTGATGTGTGACTTGCGGCAGATGAAGCACATGGGAAAGTAGACCACCATTAACCGCGTCCTCTTTACCTCTTACTGGCCTGTGTCAGATGAATGCCCCATGTCCCCTGTTACATAACCCCCCCGAGATTTTTTTCTTTTTTCTTTAACCCCTTTGTGCCGTGTTTTATTTCAGATCAGCGATGAGGAGCAGGGTTATGACTTGGACCTTTTCTGCATACCAAAGCACTACGCTGCTGACCTGGAGAAGGTCTACATCCCACATGGTCTCATCTTGGACAGGTGAGTTCTGCTGATTCCCTCTCAGGCTTTAAGAAAAGACCAAAGACCCAGCTCTTCACTGAACACGTTTGCACTTGACAGACTGAAAACAAAAATGTTCTGTTTCCTCCCACACAGCCTGCTATTAGCATCAACGCCCTGACACACTTGAACTATGGCACTTATCTAGATTGTTTTCTCCTGACCAGATCCTTGCTTGTGTTGTATCCGCTCTCAGATGTACATCGCTTTGGATAAAGGCGTCTGCTAAATGAAACTGTAGAGTTCTCATATTAGTAGCAGGATGGTGAAAAGGTGGATTGTCTATAAGACTGGATGGCGAGTCTTAAAGTGCTGTTGACCTAATTTTAACAAAAAACAAAGTCGGACACTGTTTAAAATGCCAACAATGATGTTCAGGAAGTGATTATTGTTTTTACTGGTGGCTTGTCTGTCCGTTGAACTTGCGCCTCAGTGGAACTCCTCACCCCTGCTTTTCTATTTTCATTTGTGGACTTACCAATTTATGCAGCTCACCCTTTTCTTTTTATATTCTTAGTGTCATGTCTGTAACTGTATCTCGGTGGTTATTATGCTTTAGAAATGACAGCTTTGCCTGCTGACAGGAACAAAAAGGAAATGGGAACTTGTGCTGACTGTAGCAGAAAACGGAGCTGACTATCCCCTCTCTTTCTTCTCTCTCTCTCTCCCTCCCACGTGACGCCAGGACAGAGAGACTGGCCAGAGAGATCATGAAGGAAATGGGTGGACACCACATCGTGGCGCTCTGTGTCCTTAAAGGGGGTTACAAGTTTTTCGCAGACCTGCTGGACTACATCAAGGCGCTGAACAGGAACAGTGACCGCTCCATCCCCATGACGGTGGACTTCATTCGCCTCAAGAGCTACTGTGTAATTCATTTGTTTCTATATACTTGTACTTTATTTTTAAAAACTTATTTTGTTGAAAAAAATTGCAAATTTGAATACTTGAAGATGTTTTTTTGTTTGAAGTGCACATCCACATGTTCAGACTTTTCGATTGATCAACAGCTGGTGGTACAAAAGTAGAAAACCTGAGCATTGATCTGCACACAATCTTGTGTGTGTGCAACAATTTATATGTACATACCGATGAACTGTGCTTCCCGCCTGAGCAGAAGTTGTTTCCCACATTGTAGTGGACACTGTGGACTAATGTGTAGTAATACATGAGGAGGCCACTGGAGGAGGCACAACTAGTGGGAAAAGTCTGTTTTCTTGTTTACACCAGAATATGTTTCAAATTTGCACTTAAAAAAAAAGATGAATATGAAAGAGATTTTTTTTTTTTTTTTTAATGACTTGCAATATTACAAAAACCTTTTTACCAGGGTTGAGGTGGAAGAGTTGGTTTATTGATTGTGAGGGGGGAAATAATTCATGGCACACATGAGGCCATCCATCCATTTTCTCCTGCCTGACTGAGGTTTACCAGCTGGACCTCCTGTGCACAGAAACATCCTGATCAGCTGCCTGAACCACTGCACATGCATTAAGCTGTTGGATTAAATGTAACATAAATAAATCCAAAAACCCCCTGAAGCTTCCACTTCACTTAAGAGGTCAAAAATAGCAGCAGATGAAACTGCAGCTTTCATGAAGATAACACACAAAACAGTCATCGATTCAGTATATCTGTTCTGTTTCCTAATTATTATTATTATTTTTTTAATCATTTGAGGTTTGCCTGGAGCTTTAATCATGTTTGGCTGCGCCCTCTTTTTGTAACACTTAATTGGGGAACACATCTTAAGAGACACACGAGGCAGTTCTGCATGCTGGCTACAGTTTTAAAATTTAAGATGTTTATGTGTGAGTGCACACATCTATGAAGCTAGAAACCACAAGACAGCATTTATGAATGCTGCAGGAAAAAACAAAATACATTTACTACATGTTCTAGGTCTCAACAATTTTTTGTGAAAACAAGGCGCATAGTATATGATGTAATATGCATTTATAATTTGCTTTAAGACCACCATGTTTTGGCTACTTTTGTTTATTGATTTTCTCTCCATGCCACTACAATATATAAAGTGAAATCTGCCAGTTAACTTCATTCTTTTCTTTTTCTTGTCCTCACAGAACGACCAATCGACTGGTGAGATCAAAGTGATCGGTGGAGACGACCTGTCCACTCTGACGGGCAAGGTGAGGAGGACGGCAGGATTAGGGCTAAAACACACCCAGCTCAACGTATTATAATATTAATAATAATACTTTCAATTTAAAGCTAAATGAACTGAAGTTCATTTTACTGCACTTGTTTTCTATCCAGTGCTTAGCTCAGCACTATTTTCAACATGAACAGATATTTTAAATATAAGGTTTCCTTTTTTGTCAGACAATGAGTATTTCTTAGGTAAGAGCTGTTTTCACCTTTGACGTGTTTCGACTGTCACTTCAGTCTTCCTCAGAAACGACGTCTGCGGTGACATGTCTTTATCAGCTGGTGGTTTCCTGGAGGCGTGACCCGCCTGGCAATCTGTCAGATTTGCCCGACGGGCTACGCCTCCTGCCGCCCGGTGGTCTCTGCAGGAGAGCGTCCCATGTGTGGGACAGCATGAATGCCCCCTCATCACGGTTCATGGTGTCTTTGGGTCGCCTCCTGATTTCTGTGGCCTCCTTGATCCAGCTTTTAAATAAAATAAAAAAAACGCTTTAAACGCTGGATCAAGGAGGCGGATCACGCCTCCAGAAAACCACCAGCTGATAAAGACATGTCACGACAGACGTCAGATGACGTTTCTGAGGAAGACTGAAGTGACAGTTGAAACACGTCAAAGGTAAAAACAGCTCCTATCTAAAAATCATCGTCTGACAAAAAAAGAAAACCTTATACCTCAAATCAGAGCAGACAAAGTGAACCTGATCACAGTAGATATTTTAAATGACCTGAGAGAAATCCACCAAGTCCTTTTTTTAAGACTTTTATATGTTTAGCATTATGTAATACATTTTATAAACCTTTTCTTCCATTAAAGGATTTGGACATAATTCCTAGGTCATTTTTTGGCTTGTGTAGTCATGTGATCATCTGTATGACAAACAAACAGTTTCTCTCTCAGCCACCAGTTTGTGTATTTTTAAAGAAATGCCTCCCATGTTTTACTCCCTGCAAGTCTCTTTGTCATTATGGCTCACTCTTCCTTACAAAGACCTTTTCACTGATGCAGTCAGTTAACGAAGGAGCCAGCACCATGTCATTTCACATGTCCAACTGCATATGTTTAATTAATTATTTGTTCTTTTCTTTTTTTTCCCTCTACACAGAATGTCTTGATCGTGGAGGTACGTAGTGATTTCTTTCCTTCTATTTTCAATTAAGCAGCTTTTATGTCCCAGACCGCTAACGTGAGTTTCCCTCGTGTTGTGTTTCAAGGACATTATCGACACAGGGAAGACAATGAAGACATTACTGCAGCTGCTCAAACAGTACAATCCCAAAATGGTTAAAGTAGCAAGGTAAGTCAGTCCCTTCACGCCTGCCTGTCATATACTAAGTACTGTCACGGTTTGCTGGCCAATGCGATTGTATGTATGTACAAACTACATTAAATAATATTAATAAAATCTTTTGATGATCATCTTGGTTTTTCCCCTCAGTTTGCTGGTGAAGAGGACACCGAGGAGTGTTGGCTACCGACCGGACTGTGAGTCTAACAAAACAAAATCTTTAACAGACTTTTAAGTTTAGTTTGTAGAATATAGTCACTAATTGTAGCTGCAAAATTATGTGATTTTGAATGAAGCTGTGGATACTTTAATGCCAAAGTCAAAAAAAAGGAGACTAATTTATTCATGTTTTTTTGTCTTTATCTTTTTTCAGTTGTTGGATTTGAGGTCCCTGACAAGTTTGTGGTTGGATACGCACTAGACTACAACGAGTACTTTAGAGATCTAAATGTAAGTATTTGAGATCGATAAAGTGTAAAGCATCGTTTGTGGTTTTCTGCAAACAGTATGTATCTGTGTGTTAACGTTAGGTCCAAGCAGTGCAAAATCCTTTTAAACTAATCATGTAAATCAATAATGAGGTGCGATGCTGATTGGTGCGTTTCTGTTTCAGCACATCTGCGTCATTAGTGAAACGGGGAAGGAGAAGTACAAGGCATGAAGAGCACCTCGTAACAGTTTTTAATGTATGGATCTATCATTTCCTTTTGCTGTTCATTTTATATTTGATCACTTCACTTTGTGTCATAAGGAAACATTCTCAGGCTGCTCAGGGTCCCTGAGGATACACTGATAAAGTGATAATCCTGCTTTTGTGTTTTAGTCACCACACATGTTGGATTCACCTTTTTAATTATGGACTGCCTTAGAGACGACAGAGTCTGGGTTAAACAGCATGGAGCCCGGCTTCACCTGCACTTAGTTTAATGCTTTTATTCTCCCTCGCTGGTTCATTTTAAATTTTTTTTCTTTGATTTTTTTTAGCAGTGGAATAATTTATTCAGAGCAATGCTGCGAGCTGATAAGATTCCCAAACTTTTATGAAATATTTTTGTTGATGTCCTTCTTATCTTACCTGGGACTATCAGTGGCTGTTTTATGGGCACTCTTAAAGAGGATGTTGCATTTTCTTTTAAGTCTGTATGTATATTTTGGGACAAAACTTTTCTACGGGACCGTGCTGTGTGATGAGGTTTTCTTCAGATACACTGTGTACAAAAAAAACAAAGTAACATGAGTGTTGGCTGCTGTCCCTAATAAACACACATTGATATCCTGAAGATGAAATATCCTCTTATTTAGGAGCCTTGATGGAGTCTGTGTCCAAACAAAGCGTTCGATTCATCCGCTCTCTTTGTAAAAGACACTGAATCCTTCTAATGCTGAAAACGTGATCGTTTACAGATGTCTCAGTGTTCAGTTGATGCTTCAACTGAGTTGAAAGTTAATCAATCATGTGTGCTGAATCTGTATCTACCACCTAACAATGAATCTAATTTAATTTAACTATTTCCTCACCCCCCCCCCTTTTAAAATTTTTTTTTTTATTTTAACCAAATGAAGCGTGCACATCCAGTCATTCTGTAATCCTGAACATTGCAATACCAGCCATTAAATGTTCTCAACTCCTCCTGTGACGAGTGAATGTTGCTGTTAAGTTTTGTCTTCAATGTAACGCCAAGTACTTGGAGCATTTAAATAAGTTTTGTCCAAGTTGTGGTTAAAATGCAGGGAAGCTTTGATGGAGAGAAGATAAATAACTTGCCTTCAGAAAATTTATTTAGTCGTTTGGTTTGTGTTCTCACAGAAGTGATTCTTTTCCAAATATCTAATAATCTGTTTTTAAATAAGTTTGATCTTTAATCGTCATGAAAATCCTGCATGTTTGACCTGATCTGATCTGAAACCCAAGAAAACTTGAAAATCAGTTTTTTTTAAAAATCTATTAGTTCTTCATAAAAATGTGTTTTTAATGAAAACACTGAAACATTTACTGGTCAGGTGCTGATAAATGCTCTCTTTTTTTTTTTTTTTATTGTACTGGCTGCTTATTACACTGAACACTTAGTAGATTATAGAGGAAGCAACGTCTGCTTCTTCGTTGACACGCTTCCCTGAAACTGAACTTAACCAGTCGTGTTTTCTGATGCTTAACATGACCCCAGTCTTACCCTAACTAGCTAATCTCTGCTTACTCCTGAGCCTGTACAACTAACATCCAGATGCTGTTGTCTTTACTAAAAACAAATCACACATTTAAGATGATTGAAACTGGCATCATCGTAGTTAACAGCTGCAGCCATTGTGATCAGGAGTGAAGGGCTGCTGTAAATGCAAACCGTAAATCTGCAACAACAGTCCATCCAAGTTGTCTGCATGAGGCCTCTTGTGGGCAAATATGTCTATGGGCCAGGCAAAACCCAAAAATATTAAAACTAAAATTACATGAGTTGAGTTTGACAAGGAACCAAATATTTCAAACACTTAATGTGTTTTCTGTCAGGACCACTGAAGCATTTTGATTGCTTGCTTAATCCTAATTTTCAAAATAACTTAATACAAATAATGAATGGGAGCGTGCAGCGCAGCCTGCAGCAAGCAGTGATCTTTATTTTAGCTTTTTGAGCAACTTTGGTTTCTTTGATTTTGCTGCGACTCCATGATGATACTGTTTTCGACTCGTCTTCTGCGTCTGATTCATTCCTTTTCTGCTGCATTTTGGAAGTAAAATAATTCAAATCCTGCCAGTTTGGTTTGCCTGCTCTACTTTGGCATCAGTTGTAGGGATTCACAGTTTGATATTAGTTTAATACTGGGTAAATGAAATCCTTTTTTCATAAATTAAAGTCAATTATTTGC